AAAATTCCGAAAAATAAAACGTAAATTTAGAAATTTGAATAAAATGAAAATACGAATATCCAATAGCACAGAATGGAATTAAGACGATGATAATTAAAATATGTTAATAGGGGATAAATATTTATTTAAAACGAAAATCAAATTACTTCAATAATAATCATTGAACGATTTGACAAGAACTCGGTCTTCAGAACTGACGCAAAAAATTTTAAAACAACTGCTCGAGCAAAGTTATAGTCAGCTATGATTCATCGCGGGCAAACATTCAACAAGAATGATTAATCGTTCAACTAAATGCAGATGGTTACAATGTTCTTCTTACTGGTTTCATAATATTAACCAACATCCTTGCTGACTATTATCGATATTAGTAAGAGAGTGAAATATATATATATATATATATATACACACATATATATTGCAAATAGAATTTAATTAATTTCTTTGAAAAAGAAAAAGGAAAATTAAAAGAGCAATACTTTTACTTATAAACTTTTGATCTAAAATTTGAAAAAATTATGGTATTATTCAAACACCACATAACCATATTATATTTCTCGTTTAACACAGTTCCAACTCGATCATCCAATCATGGTGAGCGGACACGTGACTACACAACGCCATCTGCAGTGCTTAGGGACAATATAAGGATCCCTAGTGAATGGTACACTATTATGCGAGTCCAGTTATGGATTTTCGATTTCTTCCTATTCGATCACGGTGTATACGTTTCCAAGAATATCGAGTTCCTTTAAATACCGCTTCATCTTGAATTCCACGCGATAATGTCATCAATCTTCTCCCATCCCGACCGCTTTCTCATCCGATCCCTCTTCCCACGTTCTTCTTTTCTCTCGTTCCTCCTCTCTTCGCCACGTTTCTCACAGCGTTTCCCCTCCCTTTTTTTTTCCTTCTTTTCGAAACTCGTTTCTAACGGTATGCAGATATATTCATGAAATTGCTACGGGAACGTGAGCAGAGGCGCGTGGAACTGGCAACACAAATTGCAGATGTTCGTCTTGAAGACTATAAAATCAATTTTCCGTTACGTAGAGGAGGAGGAAGGAGGAGAAAAGAAGGTATGGAGAAGAAAGAAGGACAGAGAGAGAGAGAGAGAGAGAGAGAGAGATAGAGGAAAAGGAAGACGAAAAAGGATCCGCAGTTTCCTGCGATGCCGCAGTAATCACGACCAGCTAATTAGGGCGGTAATTTCTGCTAATTGCTTTCATTAGTACAGCCTCAAACTACAGTCTTCTTTATCGCCGATATAATTTTATAATTATATCGATTTCACGGCATGTTTTATAATTGTGACTTACGCGTCAATTGGCCAATTTCACTGTGACAGTTTGGACGAACGAAAACATTATTATTATTATTATTATCACGAATATTCTATAAAGATTTTCTCGAGGAATTTATAATAATTTTTCTTTCTTCAGGGATTATCAAGCTTTGATTATTGACATTTTCAATTTTACTCGTGGCGTGCAATTTGGTGCAAAAGAATGCGTTTCCCCGGATGTGTTAGATAAGAGAATTAACTTTTCTCGATTCAATTGATAATTTAAATCGAAGATTTGATTTAAAATATTATAACAAAATATATGGAAACCGACTTTTTAATCAATGATGAGAGTTGAACGGAGATTTGAGATTGGAAAAAGTGATATGAAATTTTTGATCGATATATATTTTTCGATTATAATATAATCGAATGGAAGAACGATACGATGATGATTTTTAGAAGTTTAATAATTTCTTGGTTACAGCGATAAAATGGCGATAAGAAATCTTGAGAAAATTTCAAAAGCGCGATAATTAAAAGGATTTTACGGTTGAATTGCAATCATTTATATGCTTGTTGTAAAATAATTAATTCAATTAAGCAACTCGTTTAACGGTATTAATTAAATAATGGATGCAAAAAAAAAAATTATTATACAATCGTCTGTAACTTAATTGCATTACTCGAGATCGATCTGTTAACACAACAACAACAACAATAATAATAATTTTAGAACGTTTTCTCAATCAGTCTGTGATAATTGAGAAGTAAAAGAAATTTATTAAAAAAAATATAAAAGACGGAACACATGACGTATCACGTGCTAAAATGTAATATTATTTCAAACTCTTGGGAGAATGTAACCTATCGAAGTAATTCTGATGCTTAAGGATAAGAGTAACTGCAAAACCATTACATTTATGTTGAAAAGTAACTTGGAAAACTTTAACAATATTTCATGACGAGGAAAGTAACTTCGGAACTCCTATATTATTTCACGCTCAAGAATAGCTTCAACACTTAACGCGGAAATGACTTCGAAACTCCTGCGTTATTCCAGGATAGAGGTTCTCAGTTTTCGTCGATTAATTTATTTAAGCTTCGATAAATTGCCAGAGATGTTGGAATCTGTAAATACCCTTCCTTTCGAATCTAGGTCGTGGCTACGAGTTTACGTTACAGTAACTTTAATGGAAAAATAATATTTCACGATTAAATCTCGTTATTAGAAATCTTTTTAACCTTATATATATATATATATCTATACATATGTACGATTTTACCGGCCGTCGATAATCGTGCAAAGTAAAAACTTTTACGAAAAACGTAGAAACTATATATAAAAATAGAATAGATAAAAACAGGCTTTGAAAAAAAGATTTGCTTTATGCTTCGAACACTATCACGTCGAATATTTTTATACAACCTCTCTTTTACAACCAGATGATCAAAACATTTTTTCAGATATTTCAACAAAATTCCAACGTTCTTAAATATAGCAAATAAAATATATATAAACTTCAGCCTATTTGTTGTATCACCAATATCACCATTTACATTTACATTTAAAAAACAGCATATCAATTCCAACTCGTTTCGAATTCGTTTCAAAACCGAACTTCCTTCGATATTTAACCTGCGAAGTAACGAAGATTCCCGAGTTAACCCGAAATACGACGATCATACGGTTATTACTTTTTCAACCGCTGAGCGTGTAATTCCCCCTCCCCTCCCTCGTTACCGTGCACACCTCGTCTGGGCGATAAAAAGCGAAATTCGGGGCGGTGGAAAATTGGGAGAAGGATGAAAATCACCGCGGGAATCGGTTATACGATCGGGCAAGTTACGTTTGACAAACCGCATGTGGAGGGGAAACAGAGGCCCGCCGCGATCCCGTTCGTAATTTTATGTTTGCGCCTGTTGAACCGTGATCGCGTTACTGCGGCCGGCACGCGTGCGTGCGGTTTATACCCTATCACTCTATTTGGCCGATTCTCTCTCTCTCTCTGTGATCATAATGCCCTATCTCTCCGATTATCGGCCCGCTTCAACCGGAATTTCGAGCGATATTTAATTTAGGGAGTTGGAGAGCAAGTTTTTCCACTGGTTTCGGCGAAAAGTGAATATTTATCTGACTGGAGAGGAACGAATTTCTTCGAAAAGTTAATTTTGATCTTTTGTTTTGTTTCAGGTTAGGAAGAATTGATTGTGACAAAGTTTGGAACGATTTAATAGCGATTTATTTTTTTTAAGCCGATCTTCTGCCGCGCGGTCGAATTGTTCTGAGCATAAGCCGAGCATAAAGCCCTATATCTCTCTGATTATCGCTCCATTTCCACCGGAATTCGATTTCGAGCTCCGTTTCGACCGATATTAATTAGAAGTTGGGGCTGAATGGTTGGTATGGGATGATTCTTTTTTCTCTTCTTCTCCTCGCTTATATATAAATATAATAATTTTTCTCCCTTCCTTTCGTTCGTGTTGAATTTTGAAACGCAGATCTGGGAGGCTAGTTTCTTCGCTGTTCCAATTTTGTTTTTATTTCATGGAGAATTGCATTGTTGTTGAAAATATGAAGAAGAATGATCTTGAAATATCGTATCAACGCACTTAGCAGTCTCACTTGCATGCAAAGTTAAGTTTATTTTTTGACGTTTAATTAAACGAATGAAAGAATCTTTCAATGAAAAAAATAACAAAATGGATCATGATCGAATATAATAACGTAGAAAATATTTTGCTTTATTTTTTAAACGTTTGCTATTATCCATCCAAAAAGTTAGGTCTGAGCAACGTATTCAAAATATTCCATGGATCAGTAATCGAATATAATAATGATAATATATAATTTATTTATTTTGTGACGTCTAATTAATGGTCTAAACGAATCTTTCAATGAAAAAAATAACAAAATGAATCATAATTCATTTTTAAAAGTTAGGTCTGAGCAACATATTCAAAACATTCAATGGATTAATAATCGAATATAATAATGTAGAAAATATATTACTTTGTAACGTTTGGTACCATCCATGCAAAAAGTTAGATCTGAGATGAATGATTGAAATATCGTATCAACAATCTCCTGATGCAAAGTTTAATTAATGATCTAAACGAATGTTGAAGAATCTTTCAATGAAGAAAGTAACGAAAGATTCAATCGAATGTAACAATGTAGAAAATATTTTTCTTACTTTGTAACGTTTGGTACCATCCATCCAAAAAGTTAGGTCTGAGCAACGTATTCCAGTTCCAGTTCGAGCTCTCGTCGCTGTCCTCGAAGCTCAAACTCGGGAAATCGAAAGTTGCAGCCATCATTTGATCTCTTTCGGACTTGGGTAGAATCAAAACAGTGTCCATATTCTTCCTATCCTCCTTGTTATCCTCTTCTCGTGCACCTTGTGTGAAAAATAAACGACAAATGTGAAATTTAGAATTTTTTCATTCCGATCGCATTAAAGAAATCTATAATAACTTTAGGTTTATAAACTGGTGAAAGGTTGGATCGTTATAGAAAGTTTTAATGCGAAAAATGTGTATTCATCATGCGCAATGTTTACAAAGTTAAATTGACAGTGATGTAAGCAACTTTGCATACGTATGCGCGTGTGTACACGAGAATAAAAAAATGTGGATTAGAAAGCAAATTTTCACGTTTTAAAATCTCATAAATAAAAGTAAATTTATTTAAACTAACTTAAATTGATCGAAGAAATATTGATGATGTTTCTTCTTCTATATATTCTCTCTTCTCTCTCTTTTTTTCTAATAAAAAAAAAAAAAAACAAAAATCTCATTATGATAAAAAGATATTCATTCACGAGAGAATCTTAGGTTTAACCTTCGAATCTCGGAGAATCGCCTTCTCCAGGAAAGAATTTGCTTGATCCAGCTTATATTTCCCCTCGAAACCGTACAATCTCTGTTTAACCTATTTTTCTAGAGATAATATCTATATAAATCAATTTGGTATTTTTAAGCGCATCATATATATAGAAAAATAATTTAAAAAAATTAAAAATTACAAATATCCGACAGCTTCGAGGACGTACGAATATATTTCATGAATTATCCAAAAGAAGGAAATCTGGGAATTCTCTATAATCTCATTTTAAACGTAGGATAAATCCATCTCATGATTTTAATCCTCTCATTTGTCTAATAGAAAAAAAAAAAAAAAAGAGAAGAAAGAAAAAAGAAATCGAATTAAAGGAGTTATACATATTCAAATATCCAATCCTTGCATAGATAAACGAGTTACACGATATAAATCGATTTGAAATGAAATTAATTAATTTATTTCTCTATAAGTTAAATATAACGTATATTAGAATTGAGAAATTTGTAGAAATTGTGAATTGATCAATTTTACATATTAATTTAAACATTTTAAGAAAGAATTTTTTAGAAATTTTTCCTATCCTAAAGATCCTAGTAAATATTTTACTAGTTATTTTTTCGAAATCCACTATATTATAATTTAATAAATAAAATAAAAAGTAATAAACCAACCAGTTACAGATTTTTTTTCAACCGTTGAACAGCTATGTATTAGCATATGGAAGGGGCTTAAAAATGAAAAGCATCGGAATGCAACCATATAATTATTCTTACTCCCGGCGTTTCTGACCCACGATCCTTTCAAACGCCTCGCGGCACTTAGTGCTTTAAGGAATTTGCCCAAGTGATTTATCGTCGAGCTCTTTTAGTGCCACGCTACTGAATTTGCTACCGACCTTCACTGTCAGACAGGAAATGCAGGATTCTGTACTTCTGTACGGGTAGGTTGACACGATGGACAGACTCGATCGGTAATCGATAAGTGGAACACCGTCGGTAAGGATTAAAAAAAAAAGGGGAAGGAGTAGAAGGAAGGAAGGAAGGAAGGAAAGAAAGAAAGAAAAGGAGAGGGAGAGAGAAAGAGAGAAGAAAAAAGTAGGCATTGACCATTTGCACCGACGTCTCATTTGCAACGTGTCAAAGCGTTGCGTGTAACTAAAGTCTCAGGGCTATCGTTTCGGAATGATCGATCGTATCTTCTTTCCAGCAGCCCCACCTCTCGTTTGTATATCAAACGGTCCATTCCACGTTGTGCTCCTTGCTCTCAAAGAATCTCGACTTTTCTTTTTTCCATAAAACACGATACAGCCTTTATATAAACGAAACGAAATGTAAAGCAGCGATGTTTTTCTGAACGAGGCGAAAGTGAGGTTAGGATCGATCGTGATATAGTTAAAAGTAACACGAACACGTTTCAAGTTACGACATATAAAAATATAATTTTTTCCCCCCTGTATCATGAATATTTGAAGTTAATCCAATTTTAATTTAATAGATGGATGAAAACGAAGGTATATACCAAATTGAGAGCGCACAAGATTTTGAAAGACAGGATGCTCGTTAGAAATAGAGGAAACCTGAAAGGCGTTAAGGTTTTGAGATCACCTTTGTTTGGGTACACGGGATATTGTATATTTTATACCCCGCGGTGTTTTCGAAATAAGCAATTACGCGAAATTATTCGAGATTTTAGACATGAGATAACACAATTTTGAATATATAAAATTGCTTTAAATAAATTTATATATATATATATATAATATATAATATATATATATATAAATTAAAATAATTTTTTTCTGTAAATTCATTCAAATCAAAATTAAACTTTTTAAAATCTGTAAATTAAAAGATATCTAGCGAGTTATTAAATTTCAACGTATTCCACGTCAACTTAGCACAAACAACAATTTCCATACAGATGGCGCTTTTATTATATTATCATCATTGCAAACAAACAAAATAAAGTTAATAGCCCTGTTAATCTTTTTTAAAATCAGTTAAGATCAATTTTCTCGAAAGAAATCAGGTTATCATTTGTGACAGCATGAGGCATATATATATATGCGAGAAACGGTTGGAAAATAGGGTGACATGTGTATGTATCAACGAGGAATATTTCTCCACGGGAGATTTTCCTCGAACGCTTTTGGCGATTATCCAATTGACTCCGTCGTCAATTCATATTGACGCACGTAGAAACGTAGGAGTCAATTTAAGTCAATCTAATTCCTACCAACGGAGGAACCCTATTGCGCAGGAAGACGACACGCGATCTATCATAGCTCGAGGAAATCCGCGGCCATTCGATGACGAAAAATCGTTGAGATTGCCGCCACGGAGTGAAATGTTTTGACAGACGACGAGATACTACTCTCTTATTGAATTCCTCCCCTCGAGGGGGTTCTATGGTACAGAAGAGATGAATTTGGCATTACACTGTATATTACATTTCTTCTTTCCATGGAAATACGATTATATTTATATTTAACTTTCGGCTGAATAATCTTGATTGATTTCGTTTACTTATAATAAGAAATTTCAAAAAAAAAATTAAATAATAATTAAATAAAATTATAATTCATGGATATTTTTGAATAGTTCTTTTTCTAAAATTTTTATACGGCTATATGGACGTATAATTAATGGATTTATAGCATATATATATATATATATATGTTATTTTACGATTCTATGGCATTCACAAGTTAATAATAAAGACACAATGACAATGATAAATGGTTTCGAGCAAAATTGGTAATTATATTTTCCTATTCTTATTCGACAATCAATTGTAATAAAATTTAATTGTGAATCAAAGATTGAAAATGATTTTTGAACACATTTGCAAGTTTCTCAAATTTTCATTACTTCATATTATAATATTAATCATATATAGCAATATATTCTTCGCTATATTTTCACGAAATAAATATTATAACTTTTCACGAGGTCCAGGTCAGTTGTGCACCTATACAATTCATTATAACAGCGCTATAAATTTCTTCAAGGAAAAAAACTTTTTGTTATTTATCGAGTTTCCAACATCGATTACCGTTCTTCAGTGATTCTCGTAAACCAGAAAAACTATTCAAAAGTAACTTTTTATTAGCAAAAATGCTCCCCTCTCATTAATTCAGAAAGTATCGAAGAATCAGCAAACTATATCCCTAGACGTTACAATTAATTTCTAAGAGTACATTGTTCACAGTGGACGCGCTAGAGCGACCAAAGTTCGACAAGTTTCCCCAAACTTCAACCCCTTAAGCAGTTTATCGTCGACCATTTACACGGTGAAACGCTTAACCGGTAAATCTGCTCTATCCTGAATATGGTAAACTATCTATATACATGGTGTTCCCCTAAAAATGTTGCAACTTTTTTTCGTTAACAAAAATTTTCGTTACGCCTTTGTTAACAAAAAAACACGAATTATTAACTTAATCCAATCAATGCGCGTAATTCAACGACAGTAGCGTTGGCTACGCGCTGTCCATGAGCGCAAACAACAAATCCATATAAGCAACATATCTCGAACAAAATGTGTTATAGATGTAACAAATATTTTTCTATCGATAAAAAATTATATCACGAACAAACGAATAAATAAAACAAATATAATATTCAACACACTTTTTTCAAGGACACTATTTTTGCTCGAACTTGTCCACGCACGTAGCCAATCCTACCGTCGCGGCTCGACTAGGCGCTTCGTGATTGGCTACTGTTCCTTTCGTTAACGAAACCGCAACGAGAGTCGTTGCAAAGGAAAACGTTGGTTAAAAATTATCCCAAGAATCTTCAGGATATCCTCCTGAACATTTTCAAGACACTCTATATCCACACGTATCTAGGGGACCCTAGGATTCCTCGACCACTTTAACCAAGTCGTGCGTCACTTTTTCCCCATCGCTTTCTCCGGTTGTACACGGGCCTCCATGCTTCCCTTGAGAAATTTGAACCTGATCGATTTATCGGACGCGGTTCTCACCTCCTTTCCACCCCTCCACACTCTTCCTCAAGTGGCATTAGGCAGGTTTAATGCGATGCCTGCAAAAAGGGAACAGAGTGTAGAGGCAGGGCGAGTAGTAGGTGCCGAGTGCCATTGACTGCGGAATAAAATAGACGGTGGCATTTCCAGCGCGGCTCAGCCTTGGCAAAATTCCATTTCTTTTCCACACGGGGTCCGCGGCGCTCCGAGCAAGAACTGATATTTCCTTTTCCTCCGCTCCTTTTCTCTCTTTTTTTTCTTCTTTCTTTCTTTCTTTCTTTCTTCTTCTTCTTCTTCTTCTCCTTCCCTTTGCGTTTTTTTGCTCCTCGTTTTCTTTTCTTTCCTCTCTTTTGTTTCTCTCTTTTCTTCTTCTCTTTTTTTTTTTGAGGTTTCAGTAACGAAATGGTATATCGTATTTGAGAACTGTGTGTCTCTATCTTTTTGAGCAAATTGTTTTTCTCGCTCGATTTTTTTTCTTTTTTACTTTTCTGCTCCAACGAAAATGCGAAAAGCAAGAATCAATTGTTTTCAATTTGCGAATAAAATTAAACATTTTTTTAGAAGACAAAATCAATCAATTTCTGAATACTTACTTACGAATAAAAATTTTAATAACAAATAAATTTTATTAACAATGAATATATTATACTGGATACTATGGTCAATAAAAATTTTTCGATTAATTTTATTTTTATGAAAAAAAAAAAAAAGGAAAAAAATTGGAACAAATTTTCGTCGCAATTTGATCTTCGTCAGATTTTATTAATTTCAAACTCTAAGAATTTAATATTTCGCGGGATACAATCGAGAAAACGCTTATCAATTGGATAGTTCGAAACCGATCGTTTGTTCTTGGACACCGAGTAATTATAGTAATTATGGGCAAAGGATCGTGGCTTGCCGTATATACAATACAGATAGGAGGATACGGTAACGTTCTCGATGACAGTAGCCTAGGCTAACATTAGGATGAACCTCTTAGTGTATACCAGACTGCATAGCCTATAACCATTGACACAACCACTTGAATTAATAGCCGGCAATTAAGCGGATGATAATGTTTCCCCTCCAATGCGCACCACCCTACATAAACACACTGTGTACTGGCCCAGTGCCGATAAAAAGCCAATCTCGACATTTACTTCGTACATCTTCGTACGGTTTATGGCTCGGTCTTAACCTCGAGAAAATCTCGTCTCGAGGAAAGATAAAAATTGATCTAACGTGTAAAAGTAGCGAAATATCGTCGAGTGTCGCGATAAAGGGATATTGTACAGGACGAATCACACGATACGTTCGATACACGTATAAATACACTTCGATCGTGATATATTATATTATTTATTATTTACGAGTTATTAAATCTAGAAAATTTTATATAAATGGAAGAGACGAAATACGAAATTTTTTAATTTTAATCGTATCTCTTGTTGAATAGATATTTCCTATATATATATATATATAATAAAAAAAATAATAATTTTGCCTATAAATATCTAATAGAAAAGGAATATTTCAATATCGTATATTTAGTGCAATGTATAAAATATTTTCAATGTTTTAATTTTTTTAGAGGTTATGAACGAGCCTTATGTGAATCGGCCTGTACGAATGTGCATGTAGGAAACGTATACGCGCCCCGATATTCCCATTGAATTTATACCGCAGTGTATCAAGTCGTCGCAATTGCCAACTGCAGGAAATCGTAGAGTGCAACGAACGATGCAGAGGAGGCTTTATGGAAATCGATGCGAATATATAATGATTACAAGTGGACCCTGCGTTATTTTAAGTACCTTATGCTCTCTGTTCTGTCAGCTTATCACGAGCTTTATCGAGCGTAAGACGGTTATTTTTAAGACGACGCGTTTTATGACGGTTAAACAGCTCTCTATTTACCGACAGCTTCCTTGTAGCATCGGTTTATTGTTATCGGCACGTTTGATTTTTAATTGGTGTAATTCCATTCGATCAATTCACGCCTCGCGTGGATAAATGGTTGTTTTAACGTTTGTTTGATTATTTATGTAGCTCGGGGGGGGGGGGAGGATGGGGGGATTGTATTAAGTATGAATAAAGTTTGCACGTGTTTATGCCGTGTTTTGAGAGTTAAACACACCGAGAGGTGATAATCAAATCAATGAAATATTTACAATGTTGAATGAAATTTTAGAGAGGTTTGTCGCTGAGAGGTTATATTATCGCGAGAAATTTTGTCGTTCAATGAATTTAATTCTTTACATTTTACAATTTAAAAATCACAAATTGATTTATCCAAATCGGAAAAAAAAAAATATGAATCAAGTTTCCAAATTTCTTAAAAGATTTTCCACCGTGAGTTTTTTTAATTTCAATAAAATAAATAAAATAAAGAAATATGTTTAACGTAAGACAAAAAAAGAAAAAAAATCTCGAAAGTTCACGGGGAATGTGGCTATCTGGAAAACACAAGATTTCAATTATCTCATTGACTTTCAACTCGGAAAAGGAAACTTAACTCGGAAGCGAGTTAATCTGAATGAAACTCAACATTTAAAGTGCGATGTGCTGTTGCGGTGTCCCCAAAACGAGTATTTAGACACCTCGTGTTCGGAGCGTCTGTACAATTGTCACAGGATTCGTTTCTTAACCTACGAGCCTACGTGAAATAACTACATTACATGGCAAATAATTTCTTGCTAAAAATTTCAAATAATATCGATAATTAATTATAAATTTCTAAATTTTCAAAATTGTCAAATTTTTAGCCTTTAAAACTTATAAAATATAAC